CTGAGAGTTGCAACTCAGAGGCCGGCAGCGCAGGCGGGGAACGTTGGAGTCCTCCTTCACTGAAGCAATCAATCCTCATGTTCGCTTCCAGCTGCCTGTCTGCCGGCCGCCATCCAATTGATATGCATAAAGACATACTGATTAGCCAATGGGAAGGGTAGCAGTCGTACGCTAATTACCATGTTTCTCTTTTATTAGTGTAGATTAATGTGCTATATACAGTGCAATAAATTCAAGCTTGTTATGTTTAGTCTTTTATCTCTTTCCAGGCCCTGGAACAAGTGTGGACACACACTTGTTATATACTTAGATATTATTGATAAATGCAAAATAGATTTACCATGAATATAGATTCCCAGCATATATATTTTGAAAATCTATAACCTGAACTTCCTATACTTTCTCCTGGTAGACAGAATAATTTATATGAATTGGACCTTACTTTGGGAGAATGAAGTAGATAAATGCCACCAAAATAATAAACTTAGCCAACACATGCATAGCATTTTCTATGCCACACACTATTCTATGCACTTTACTGATCTGAACTCACAACCCTATGATGGTTTTGTATTATCCCCATTTTCAAGATGGGACCATTGAGACACAGAAAGTAGAACTTCCATATTTTCCTATAGAACAGACAAATTCTTGTGGGATCGATGCTCCTCTTCTCCACTACTTTGCTATTGTTTGTGTTTCATTTTGATTTGAGGGTATTTCTTTACCCCCTCTCCCCCCATAGCACTTCCCTAGGAGACACTTCCTAACTGATTCTCTAAGGCCCCTTCCCCTGTCAGAACTGGGTCAAACAATTAAAATGTAAGCATTCATTTCCTTGTTGACCAACATGAGTGCAAGAACAGGTTGGGAACTTTTTTTTTTTTTTTAAACTCACCACTGGGAGTCTTTTTTTTTTTTTAAATATGTTTTATTGATTTTCTACAGAGAGGAAGGGAGAGGGATAGAAACATCGATGAGAGAGAAACACCGATCAGCTGCCTCCTGCACGCCCCGCACTGGGGATGTGCCCGCAACCAAGGTACATGCCCTTGACCGGATGCGAACCAGGGACCCTTGAGTCCGCAGGCCGACGCTCTATCCACTGAGCCAAACCGGTTCTGGCAAGGTTGGGAACTTTTAAAATTTTCTTCACAAAGGAAGAAACAGCTGCTATCCAATGTATATGACCTGGGATCCCTACCTTTACATTAGTCTGTATACTAGGGATGTGAGTCTGTCTGAACCATGAGCTCAAGAGAGCCAGCCAGGATCCCTGTTGTGGGTGAATCCAAAGTGTCTAGGACAGAGTGTGCCACACAGTAGGTTCTTAGTATTTGCTCAGGGAATGTGTGTCCTCCTGATTCTGTTTGATCTCTATTTACTAACCTACTGATCTCTGACTAGGAGGCAAAGCTTAGCCTGTGCATACTGATGAATGTATGCATATCTACAGATCATCACTTTTAAAACACGAATTTTGAACTGCCTTTGCATTTCCTGGGCCTTTCTCTGTTCTTCACTGGCAATTCCTCCCTCTCTATCGTTAATGAGACATTCCCCAGGGAGAGAATGCAAGGCTTTGGGAGCAGCTCTCACAGTGCCCTGGGTAAAAATGAGCTGCTGCTAGGGCTTGAAGCTCCACGAGGAGAATTTAACCAGGAGCCAAGCGCATTTGAGTCACAACCAAGATTGGCCCGAGGTGTGCTCTGCACATCCGCGTTAGGAGTGGGAGACACGCCTTCTTCTCACACAAACCTCCCAGATCCAGGCGGCGGTGCGGACCCAGGGGTGGTGCTCCAGTCCTGCCACTCGCCGTCCAGACGGGCAGGGGCTGGGGACCGAGCCAGAGCCACAGGTTGGAAGAATAAGGAGCTGTCTTCACGATGGTCGCCCTGTAGAGCAGGTCCGCGTCACTGCTGGTGTGGAAGCCAGGAGTTCCAGGCTCCGGGAAGGGGAAGGAAGCCTCTGAAACCCGACACCAGCCCTTGCGCACGGGAAACTTCGCAGGCTGGTGAGTTGGGGAAGTGGGGTTGTTATTGCTGGAATGTGTTCCCACCCCCTCGGGGTATTCTCAGCGCCTGGCCTTGGAGAAGGAAGTGAGACGTGGATGAGGAGCGATCCACGGCCGGCCAGCCCCAGCCGAGCGGCGAGGGGAGCCTGGCTGTGTGTGAGCGCCTGAGATCCGCAGCGTCCACAGAAATGCTGGTCGGAGTGGCGATGTGCGCGCGCGGATGGCATCAGAAAACGAGCTGGCTGTCTTTTTTTGGTATTTGCATTTCAAACAGCTGGTGAGGATAAAAAACTGGGCACTGCCATGGCAATTTTCCTTCCGTTGGTATCTCAAACAACAACCAAGGAATAATGATGATGATGATCATAATAAGAACGTGTTTAGAGTTTCATTTAAAAAGTAATTTAGTGAGGCGAGCCAGGCAAGTGATCACACATTTCTTTGCCCTTCCTCAGGTGAAATAGAAGCAGAGAATTAAAAAGTAATTTCTGTCTTCCAATGTTTTGCTCAGTTGTGGGGTGTGTGTGTGTGTGTTTCTTTCAAAATTCTGATCCAAGTGTTGCAGGAACTAGGGTGTGAGCAAATGTAATCGTTCAAGTGGTAACAATATATTAGCTTTCAAGAGTTTCCCACCCAATACAACATAATCTGAAAACGACTGAAGCAGGTGAAATGTAACTAGCAAGGGAAGCTAGAGGCCGCCTTCCTAGGAAAAATGTATGTTTGGTTAAAGTCACACTCCTATAACAAGGTCTAAAATTAAGGGTAGAAGATTCCAGTTGTCTAAATGGTTAAATTAAGCCCAACTTAATAACATGTAGTTTCAGGATTATTAACAACAAAATTATTATTTAACATAATAATCGCTATGAATTTTCTCTTAAGTTCTGTTTAAGAGAAAAATTTGCGTTGTTTTTAATATTTAGTTACATTCATGCATATTCAGTATTAGCTATGAATTTTCTCTTAAGTTCTGTTTAAGAGGAAAATTTGCATTTTTAATATTTAGTTACATTCATGCATATTCAGTATTATAAAAAGCATATATGTATTATATGCATGGTTTATAGTCCTACATTTTAAAAGTTAACAGAAAAGATAGTCTTATAATTATAGCCTCGGGTATTTAAGTTTATTGAATTTTCAGGTTACTATGAAGTTCAAGTTGTAGGATGAAGTGAGAGCCATTCCCCCTAAATATATTTCATAGTTTCCTAACATAATCCTCTACCCAGATGGATCAGTCCTTCTTGAAGGGAAGAGGGGAATCTTACAGATGACCCCTGCCCCCCCCCAAAAAAGTATTCTTGACAGTTTGATATTAATGCTGCTTTTCTGTTTAAGAACTGACTATGGCCTCTTATGAAATGTTACCATCATTGATTTGAAAAGGAAAAGAAAACATTGCAGATGAAACTGGATGGGCCTGTTCTCATAGTTGCCAAGAAGGAATAAAGGAATCTGTCATATGTGAGCAAACCACTCTCTCATAGGCTGTTTCTGGAACAGGAATACTTGACTTGATAGGGAAGGTAACCCTAGGATAACTGATCACCTCAGCTCATTGGCACACCAGCTCTTACTAAAATTATCCGCTGGTGTCTGAACTGCTTTTCATGTATTTAACTACTCTTCTGGAAAAGTGGAAGTCATCCAAAGTCCCAGGTGGTTCAGAACAGAAATCTGCTCTTTTCCCACCCTCACTCGGGAATTTCAGGTTAGTTATTTTTTTGATTTTCAGATCAGTAGAGCATGAAATGTAGACCAACTATTTACATAAAACTCAGCTCATAGCTAATCCAGTTTCTTGCGTTGAATCATCAAGGCAGGTTGACCAATAGACTCTTGAGCAAGTAATGTAATGTTGAGATGCAGGAAAACAATTATAGTAAAAGCAGACAGGACAAACAAGTTGTTTTCCATGACAAATATGTCCCTTTCTAAAGATGACGGCTAAAGGAGAATGATTTTGTACTCATTGTTAGGAGTATATGGAACTTGAGTTTATTATACAGTTGTAGGAAGTAGGACTGTCACTAAGGGCAGTAAAAACCTATTGTAAACCTCGTAAATGGAGTTGAGATTATTAGTTCCCCATAAATGGAGTTGAGAATATTACTTTGTGCCTTTTGCAATCATTATTCATGTTCCCTAAACATTAACCTTTTCTCATAGGCCCTCCTTACATGAAGAAAACTTGTCTGGAGTGTTAATAATGAGAACAAAATTCTGTTTAACAAATATCTTAAAGTATCTTCAATTACACACCTAGGTTAATAAATAAATTAGCAATTATGGAAGTTTCAATGCTATTAAAATATTTAAAGTATAATCATGAGAGTGACTGGGATGGAGAGGGAGGCTTGGTGTGATTCAATGGTCCAGGGAGAGCCTCAGGGAAGGCCATCTTTTTATTTATTATATATTTTTATTTTTAATTCTCACCCAGATATATTTATTTATTTATTTATTTATTTATTTATTTATTTATTTATTTATTTCGAGAGAATGGTAGGGAGGGAGAGGGAGAGAGAGAGGGAGACAGAAAGAGGGAAAGATTGGTTGCCTCCCACATGCACCTCAACTGGGGTTGGGGATTGAACCTGAAACCCAGGTATGTGCCCTTGACCAGGAATCAAACCTGTGACCCTTTGGTCCATGGGCCAGTAATCTGAGCCACATGGGACAGGGCAAGGCCATCTTTTTAAAAGATCACCATGGCTTCAGTGAAGAGAACACAGGGACCAGAGTAGACCAGTTAGGAGGGTATTCCAGTAGACCAGAGATGACAGTGGAACACAACAGGTGGAAACAGTGCTCCTAGAGAGAAGTGGATAAACTCAGGAAATATTTGAAGGCAGAGATAATAGGACTTGCTGACTAATTGGATAAAGAGTGGGAATGAAGGAAATGAGAAAACAAAATGATCACCCAGTTTTTTACTGGCGATACCGGGTAGATGGTAAAGCCATTTCCTAAGATGGAGAAAGAAAAACAGGTTTGAAAGAAAAATGAATTCATTTCCAGACCTTTAAGGTAATTTTAGGTATCCAAGTGGAAATGTCAAACTGGGCTTTTGGATATAGCCATCTGGAGAACTTGGGAGAAGTCACAGGCAAATAGAGAAAGTTGGGAATCAAGTGCCCATTGAAGGCTATTTCGAGCCACGGTCTTGAGGACATCACCCATTGGAATCATTGGCAGCTTTGATAGGAGATGGAATTCTTAAAAGAAGGAGTCCAGGTAAACTAACTTTTAAAAAATTTGGAATTAGCATTTCACATTATCCCAAGAAAGATACCACTAGAGCAATTCATGATTATACATAGAGACTTTAATCAGATTCGTTTTTAAAAATGGCTTGTAGAATGGATGAACTGAGGAACACGCAATTAGAAATACTTACACAGGTGTTAAATGAGCAGTTAGTATAGTGTGAGGAAGAGTAAAACCCAGAGTGGACTGAAATTTGGAAAAAAAAATGCTAAGAACAGCCAGAAATTCTTCTAGTGTTGTTTAGAGCAAAGCAGTGAATAAGGAAGTTAATGGATGTGAGAGAAAGTGTTATTACTCAGTGCCTATTGCTTTCTTCTTCTTTCTAATTAAAAGAAATAGTGTTCAAAAACAGGAAGGACAATACTAAAACAAAATTAAAATCAAAGAAATATGAGAAGTTATTGTGACTGCAAGCAATTTTTTCAAATGAAAAAGAATAATGGTGGGGGCAGTCAAGAGGACTTGTCTAAGGAAAATAGTGTTTTCTTGAGATATAAAGGCTATCTGGGTGTCAGTCTGGTGGACAGTTGGGAGAGAACAATTCAGACAGAACAAAAGTATCTGCCAAGTTCCTGACTTGGGAAAGAGCTTGATGCATTCAGTGAGCTGGCAGAAGAGTTCAGAGAGTCGAAAGTAGGCAGTAGAGAGAGGCACAAGGTGAGGCCAGAAAGACACTTAGGAAGTCATAAGTGTAGGTAGTACTCCAAGACTTGGTTGTTCTAGGGACGGTTTGTATTGGGAAGTTGGACTAAACGATCTTCAAGCTCTCTTCCAAAACTGTGAGTCTATAAATATAAGAACACAATTTGTTTGATGTTTGATATATATTCTAGATCACAAATTAAGAGATAGTAGTGAAAGTGTAGTTAATAAAGTTGTAAAAAAATGACAGATCAAGGTAAATTAAGTTGTAGTTGCCATATAAACCAAATGTCTAATACCCAGAAATGCAGAAAGAAACTTTTTTAGCAGTTAAAACAAAATCAAGGCTATCAAGACTCACCCACATAATTTTGGGAACAATTTCGGAGAAGGCTAATTAGATTTCATAAATTAGTAAGGTTTATATCGAAACATTAAGAAGACCATCACTAATAAAATACTGTTAGTGCTGGATAATATAGCTATGAATATGAAATTAGTCTCCAAAAGGCTCGATTTTCTCCTGTGTGAAAGAAAAATGTTGATTATTTTCATATCCCTATTGTCTAGCCTTAGACCTTGGTAACTTATAATTTTTGCTTCATGATTTTAGTTCTAAAAAGCTTAGGGAAAATGTACAAGATTTTATTTTAATCTTTTCTTCTGTAGCACACAAATTTATTTATTTTTTTTTAATTATAGTGATCTTGGGATCAACCCAATATGTTTTCTTGTGCTTCTCTCTTTAACTTGCTCAGAAAATTGAAACTGTACTAAATCTGACCTGAGGGATACACCACAAAATAATTAGAAAAGCAAAATTGCTTTGTATTCTGTTTTTCAGTCTAACTTAGGCAAGGACCTCAGAGCCTAAGTTTGTTAAAAAAAAAAATTCTCAGTTCTTGCAGTCTATTATTCAAAATATCCTCTTTTTGTTAAAAAAAAATGTACTGCTGGTAAATGTTTTTGGACATGTCAAAATATTTTAAATATAGAACAAAATTAGATTTTCAAAGAGGATAAGAAAAACTTGCATCTCTTAGTGCTTAAAAAAAAAAAAGGTGGAAAGCTTTTCCAAGATC